TTACTAAGTATTGCCCGGTTTGTAGTTGCAGTTAAAGAAAACACATGAAAAGGCACGATTTTTTTTAAATTCGAAAAAATGTAAATATTTCAAAAACGGTGACACTTTTACCTGAAAATTTTTTGTTTATCAGTGAGCTCACCCCCCACCTACCTTGCCCTAAAGTTTGGCACGTTACTTCTGGGACACCCTGTATACTTATGCAAAGATGCACCGGATGGTGATTAGCCTTAATACAATATTACCGCATTGTACTGCCAAATGTTCATCAGTCACTTTATATGTAATGCTAACATCTGACGAGGACGTGTATTGCATCACTTGCCGTACAGTGAATTTCGTTATGTGCTTGTTATTTAGTATGAAACCTTTGTCAATATAGTGGTTCCTAAGTAATTTCAACAAGTGTGGTACGTCAGCGAATACAAAAAACTTGCCCCTTCGCAGATTGGGTTAGCGAACCACGGATTTTCTAGGTAATTTAAATATTTTATACATAACTTTATATACATACACATATATGCTTCGTAAAGGCTGATTAGTAATTCATTTACTAATCTTTTAGTAATTTTACAGTCAAATTGATTAACGCACAGCAAGGCATTTCTCTGCAGCTCTACCCCACAGCTGCTTTCCCGACGCTCCTTACGCGAAGGACATTGAGGCACGTTAAAAAATTGGTGGTGTCTGCATTATATTTAACACCACATAAAAAACAACGCTTCAGGTGTAGCATTTTTTACACATACACTAAGTATGAACCGCACAACACTACAAAAATTCAATATTTATTAAAATTTGTCATTAACGAGCATTCAAAAACACATGACATGACATTCAAAGCGTAACGAAATATAGGAAATAAAAGGAAAAGAAGTTGAAGTTTAAAGGTTTGGTTCTCATGAGAGCAACGTCATTTCAGCTTCTATCTGTATTTATGTGCCTTGGTTTTATAGCACCTAAGGTGTATTAAACAAGGTGTGACTGACAACTCAGGTCGGCTCTCTTTTAAGGTACTATTATGCCAAAAAATATAAACAAACGATTCAAAATTCATAAAAAAATTTTTCAATTTGACTTTATAGGATGGTTTTTCTGAGAGCAATGTCAAATTCAATCACACTTTGTTGAATACATTTTGATAGCACCAAAAATTTTTCATCCGATTATTTGAAAAATATGAATCTATAGTTATGCAAGTTTAGCAACAATTTTTTGTTTCAGATAATATCTTCGAAGCTGGTAAATGGAGAATTTGTGTCAATGGAAAACTTTGTTGCTAAAGAAGCTATTGATGAACTGAAACCCACTATACAGAAGTTATCAGTGGCTCAAAGAAAACTATTGGTAATAAATAAAGCCGATATTTACTTCGCGTTTCCCTACCAAGTGGGCATAATATTTGACGAAGAAGAAGAGAAGGTTCAAAAACGTTGGGTTGAAATAACAATGGTTTTCCATGTCCTTCGAGGGTTAACCGAAATGCGAGATCGCGGCGAAGATATCCCGTGGAATATGGGGTAAGTATAATAAAGACTACGCTGCATAATGATTGACCTTGTTTAGTAAATAAGTTATTCTCTCATATACTCATTGGTCTTTAAATGAATTATAAGAGCTGGGTCTTACCCCCAAAACGGGTTGTGGCTTGCTAAACGGTTTAAAACCGGTATGCGTATTGATCGTAAGAAAGATTCGATGGTCATCTTATCGCCTTTTTATAATGAAGACGTTGCCATTTTTAACTTTATTTTCTTTTTCGATGGTAATATTATTGCCTTTTTATAATCAGGCAATGTTAAAAAAGAATTTTTCACCATCGAATAAACAGTGAGTTAGGTATTTGCAAATTATTTTTATTTGCAAATAGCTTACGTATAAACGTAGTAAATAACTTAACCCTCAAAATACAGTTCAAAATGTAACTTTTTTGAAATTTTGGTTTTTGGCTCCCATTCTATTTGAAAACACTATATTTAATACACCATTAGCACTGTTCCTGAAAGATTTCTCTTTATTTTATCTTAAGACTCCATTTTTGGGACATTGGATGCTGTACCCGAGTGGCCAGATTGGAAAAAGAAAAGCTTCCTTTAAACTCTAATAACTCGTAAACTTTCAGCTTTCACAAAAAATTTTATATAACAAAAATGGTTATACTGGTCTACATCTTTTCGAAAGTGCTGCATTTAACCCTTTAGTGCAGAGTATGTCATATATGAGACGCTTTTTAACCCTTTCAAGGCAGAGGCAAAATGGTTCTCAATATGTTTTCAACGTACTTTTTATTTATTTTTATTTTTATTTTTTTATTTATTTTTTTTATTATTATTTTACTATGGAAAAATTTTCTACGATTAATATCTACGTCAACATGAGAAAAAGCACGTTCAAAAGCATATTGAGAACCTTTTTCCTCTGCCTTGAAAGGGTTAAAAAGCGTTTCATATATGACAGACTGCATTAAAGGGTTAAATGCTGCACTTTCGTAAAGATATCGACCAGTATAACCATTTTTGTTATATACATTTTTTTTGAAAGCTGATAGTTTACGAGTTATTAGAGTTTAAAGGAAGCTTTTCTGTTTCAATCTGGCCACTCGGGTACAGCATCCAATGTCCCAAAAATCGAGTCTTAAGATAAAATAAAGAGAAATCTTTCAGAAACAATGCTAATGGTTTATTAAGTATAGCGTTTTCTAGTGGAATGGGAGCCAAAATCCAAAATTTCAAAAAAGTGACATTTTGAACGGTATGTTGAGGGTTAAGTTATTGTTGTTGCAACTTCTCTATAGTTTTCCTATATTATATGATCATTTATCTTCACGATAAAAAATTTTCATTCCATTATCTCATTTCTAAGCGAAGATCTACGATTTAAAAAAAAACTCGTGTTTTGCCTATAAAGGGTGAACACACCAAAACTGCGACACTTTGGGAAGCTTATAACTTACCCAAAACGAATTCAATAATTTGAAATTCGCGAGATCCGAAGATCTTGTCGCGTTATGTTGCAAAATCCGTACGGAGATCGCAGTTTTTCGTACAAAAGGTAAAGCGGAAAGCTTCATTGAGATGTTCTACAGCTCAAACAGCGCCAGACCGAGGCGCAAAGTAGAATGTTACAGCGAAATCCCGCATTCGGAAGTTGTATGAATTCTAAATTAAAAAATACAACTGCATTGTTATGGACTGCGAAACCTACTGCTATAAAAATTCAAAATATATTGCAGGTCAAGATTTTTATACTGCTGCAAGTCGTCAAGATGCCCCTGAAAGTTGTAAGCTGAAAATGAAGTCCAAATTTCCAAAAACCACATGGTTTGGCAAGCTATTTGTTCCTGCGTTCGTAAGAGCAGCCCTTTTTTCCCATCCGGGACAATGAATGATCAAGTTTATCGGGATGAGTGCCTCAAAACCCGTCTTCTGTGATTTATCAACAGATAAGGAGTATGCCATCGTTCTAGGCGGACATGGCAACCTGCCACTATGCCAAGGACACATTGCCGTGGTATAATGCAAATAACATCAATTTTGTACCTCACGACTGCAATCCACCCAATAGCCCAGAGCCACGTCCTATTGGGGAATATTGGTCAATTGTCAAAGGAATCTTGAAGAAAACAGGTGAAAGAGTGAAAATTATTGAAGAGTGCAAAACAAAGTAGTTGTGCGCATCGCGTAATGTCGATGATGCAGTCGTGCAGAACATGATGGCGCGTGTGCGATGAAAATACCGATCACTTGCATATGGAGCAAATAATAACTAATATTTTAACATTTTAATAACATCTAAACTTCCAAGTTATATAATACAAAAAAAAAAATAGTTTCAAAGCCTTCTAGTTTGTTTCTGGTAGTAATTTCTAAGTGTCGCAGTTTTGGTGTGTTCACCCTTAGTGGGGCGCAGGTATCAACTATTGTCGTTCCAACTTTCTTTAATCTACCTAAAAGTCTAACAGTCTTATTTATTGTTAAGAGATTGTTGTAGGTATTAACTTGGAGTAAGTTAACGTCCTCAGTTATTGAAATATCGGAGTTTTCGTATATCTGAAAATAAATTACCGTCATGCGGGAAACCGGAATAATTTTCAACGAATTTTTTTTTCGTACCAAGGTTAATAATGCACCAAGTTTCGTAAAAATTGATAAATCCACATTTGTGGTCATAGGTGGGCGGCGCACAGTGTTTCGACTATATGGAGGCAGGTAGAAAAAAGTCATGGTGACAGTTGATAAAAGAACCAGTGGTACTTAGTGAGGGAAAAGTAAAGGTCATAAATACCAAATTTTACATTATTTACTCACTCCCTTCTTCACGAACGATACATTTCCAAAAAAAATCCGGGAATGGGCGCGATACCGACTAATCAGTTTAGTTGCCTTTGGCGATTAATCCATTAAAGGAAGTGTTTGTTTTTTAAACTGTAATTAATTATTTATATGTCGTGGAATATTCAGGTGAATGTATTTATCATTTATTTGGTACTTTCCTATTTTCTTTTAAAAAATTTAAAATTTATACCTTAGTAATTTTATAGTATAACCTTTGTTTTCTGAGAGTGAAAAGCAGGAAAAAATTTACCAAAATTCCATCACATTTAACGACTGGGCTCACATTTTTTGTGAGTTTTGGATGTTATAGTGATCTCATCTTTCCCATATTTTATATTTAGGTTTTTTTAATAAAAGAGAGAGCACAAACTAAATTTCATCGAAATCGGATGAATTTTAATGTTCCCGCCCACAAGAGTAGAAGGCGTGGCAATTATTCCATCTTTACCAAATTTCATAATTCTCTATTTCTAAGTAGTACTAGAGCACATGTCAAGTTTTAGTGAAATCGGTGCAGGTGTACTATTATTTCCACCTGCATCCATATAGTCGAAACAGTGTGCGGCGCCCGCCCAAAATACAAAAATTTTACTAATCTAATTGTTTGCTCAGTGGTCATAGCAGTAATAGATTTTGAGTCAATTAGCTTCAGTAGTTACTGATTTATCGTAGCTTTGTGTTTCTGTAAATTACAGTTATGTATATATAAATTTCTTAGCTGGATCCTAAGCAAGGCTCGCACCGAGTTTGGTAAGGATTGGTAAAGGGGCTACTAAGATACAGTATTTCATCATAAGTGGGCGGGGTCACGCCCGTTTTTCAAAAATTTCATAATATTATTTTTTACAAATACTCTACTTCATATTTACTGAAATANACCTACCTTCGATAAAGGGCGACCTATATACGAAATTTCGTTCAGATATCTCAATTTTTTCTCGAGTTGTCGTGTACACGGACAGACGGACGGACGGACGGACATAGAGATAGACAGACTTGGATTAATCGAGTTCTCTATTCATTCTGAGCATTTATGTATACATTTGTCTATATTTACAACAACCGTTATGTGAAAAAAGTTAATAAGTATACCCTTCNAAGAAAGCAAGTTTATAAAAACGTAGTAAAATGAGTACAACGAGTTCTGGGTCAACGATTCGTCGGAGGATGAGAACTAAGTAAACTGGCCAGGAGTAGCAAATGTTTAAGAGAGTTTAAGTTTATTAGTCTTTCGAATATATTTTGATATAAAATATATTTAAGAAATTTGTCTACAGATTCATTAAAAAGTTCCGACCATCTAAAGAAGCGTTTGTGAGCCAAATCTATTTAAAATATTTTAAAACTATCAACAGCGCTACGATTTTGTTCTCAGAGATCGCGCCAACAGAGTATTGGGATTTTCTTTCACAAGTAAAACCAGCCTTTCGAGCTTGTGTTTAGTATTCACGATGTTAGAACTGCATGAAATTAATAAAAATTGTTTAAAATTAGTGTCTAGCCGCCAAAATGTAAGAAAACATATACAAAATCATACATTTTTCACAATTTTCTAACACTTCGCTACACCATCGAAAGCAAAATTCTGTTCGACAGAAAATTCGATACTCAACGAAAATTTCGACACGCTTGCATAGCTCATAATACGAATTTCACTTTCGATCTTCGATAGCCAGCGAAGATCGAAAATCGAATGCAGCTTATAATAAGGGCCATATTTAGTTTTTGCATTTTTCGAAAATACCTTTATATGCGAAGGGGGCGTGGTTACAGTCCGATTTCGCCCATTTTCAATAGCAACCTACCTTCGATAAAGGGCGACCTATATACGAAATTTCGTTCAGATATCTCAATTTTTTCTCGAGTTGTCGTGTACACGGACAGACGGACGGACGGACGGACATAGAGATAGACAGACTTGGATTAATCGAGTTCTCTATTCATTCTGAGCATTTATGTATACATTTGTCTATATTTACAACAACCGTTATGTGAAAAAAGTTAATAAGTATACCCTTCTGCACAAGTGCGCTCGGGTATAAAAATAATAATGAAAGATCTGGCATCTTCCGACTCAGTAAAATATTAATAGTGCATATTTCAAACATCGTTTTTACGGAAGATTTTGTGAATTTGCGGAGGTTGCGGTTTTATCGGGAGTGTCGGGAAAGAATTTTGGTCCCGTT